TGCCCAGTTCCTCCGAGGATTTGGGCTCACGATTGGGCCTGCGATGGAAATCAGCTCATGTTTCTTCACGTGAAAGACCAGTTGGTCGAGCCCAAGGCTCTCTTTGCGTTGCCTTCTAATGTCCCCTCTTACGTTGGTTTTTCTTTATTTTAATGTTAGGCCCAAGCCTTTAAGAATGAAGTATAGATAGTCTCATAATTAATAATTTGGGTTTGAGCAGTAATTTAAAAGTAGCTGTAATTTCCTTAAGCTTTATTTAGTTAGTCTAACTAGTGGAGGGGAGCCATATTAGATAATACAAATAGATATGGCCCTCATAATTAAGTCTAGAAGTTAGAATACATCGAGGTGTGCCGTGCCGAACAAAAATCTCAATTGNTTGTTCATGCTCTTAAGATATGAAGGCACTATTTGTATGGGGTGCCTTGTGAGGTTTACACCGATCACCACAGCCTACAGCATTCGTTCAAGCAGAGGGATCTCAATTTGAGGCAGCGCAGGTGGCTTGAGTTGCTGAAGGATTACGACATCACCATTCTTTATCATCCAGGCAAGGCGAATGTGGTCGCGGATGCCCTGAGCAAGAAGGCGGAGAGCATGGGTAGCCTAGCATTCATTCCAGCAGAGGAGAGGCCACTGGCTTTGGACATCCAGTCCTTGGCTAACAGACTTGTAAGGTTGGACATTTCAGAGCCCAGCCGAGTTCTAGCATGTGTGGTCGCCCAGTCTTCGTTATTAGGGGGAGATCAAGGCCCAGCAGTATGATGATCCACATCTAGCAGTCCTCAGAGAGACGGTACTTCAAGGAGGTGCCAAGGAGGTTTCTATTGGCGAGGATGGTGTGCTGCGGCTCCAAGACCGTCTATGTGTTCCTAATGTTGAGGGTCTCAAGGAGCGGGTTCTGGAGGAGGCCCACAATTCGAGGTATTCTATTCATCCGGGAGTCACGAAGATGCATCGTGACTTGAGGCAGCACTAATGGTGGCGGGGGATGAAGAAGGACATAGTGAAGTATGTGACTAAGTGTTTGAATTGCCAGCAGGTCAAGTATGAACATCAGAGACCAGGCGGCCTACTTCAGCGGATGCCTATACCAGCGTGGAAATGGGAGCGCATTACCATGGATTTTGTAGTTGGGTTGTCGCGGACTTTGCGGAAGGTTGATTCAGTGTGGGTCATCGTGGATAGATTGACCAAGTCGGCTCATTTCATCCCCGTGGCGACTACTTATACAGCGGAGAGGTATGCTCAGATCTATATTCGGGAGATAGTCCGGTTGCATGGTGTGCCGATGTCCATCATATCAGACAGAGGCCATCAGTTCACTTCCCATTTCTGGAGAGCCGTGCAGAGTGAGTTGGGGACTCGTGTAGAGCTTAGCACAGCGTTCCATCCTCAGACTAACGGACAGTCGGAGCGGACGGTGCAGATTTTGGAGGACATGCTTAGAGCATGCGCGATTGATTTTGGAGGGTAGTGGGATCAGTTCTTGCCCTTAGCGGAGTTTGCATACAATAACAGCTACCAGTCCAGCATAGAGATGGCCCCGTACGAGGCTTTATATGGTAGGCGTTGTCGCTCTCCTATTGGGTGGTTTGAGCCTGGTGAGGCTAAGATACTTGGCACAGATTTAGTACAAGATGCCTTAGATAAGGTAAAGATGATCCAGGAGAGGCTTCGCACAGCCCAGTCCAGGCAAAAGAGCTACGCGGATCAGAAGGCACGGGATGTATCCTTTATGGTGGGCGAGAAGGTTCTCTTGAAAGTCTCGTCCATGAAGGGCATTATGAGGTTCGGGAAGAAGGGCAAGTTGAGCCCAAGGTTTATTGGCCCCTTTGAGGTGTTGAGCAGAGTTGGGGAGGTTGCTCATGAGCTTGCTTTGCCCCCTAGTTTATCAGGAGTTCACCCAGTCTTTCATGTTTCGATGCTTCGGAAGTATCATGTCGACCTTTCCTACGTGTTGAACTTCAGCACCGTTCAGCTAGATGAGAGCTTGGGCTATGAGGAGGAGCCAGTTGCTATTGTTGATAGACAGGATCGCCAGCTGAGGTCCAAGAAGATTTCTGCGGTGAAAGTCCAGTGGAGGGGCCAGCCGGTCGAGGAGGCGACCTAGGAGTCCGAGGAGGACATGCGGAGCAGATATCCCCACTTATTCAGCAGTCCAGGTACTTTTCTATGCCTGTTCGAGGACGAACGTTTGTTTAAGAGGTGGAGAATGTAACGACCCGACCAGTCGTTTAGCCTTTTTGAACCCCGTTCCCCTATATAAGGCCTCCCGTACTTGCTTTAACTAGTTTACGACTTGCGGGGGCGATTGGTTCGGGGATTGGTAGAGGTTTGAGTAAAAATATGCCCATTTGCTTCTTTAGGATTTCTTAAAAAGACCAAATTTGACTTCGGTCAATATTTTAGGAAAACGGGCCCGGATCCGTGATTTGATAATTTCTGAGGGTTCGTGGGAAAATATGGGACCTGGGCATGTGTCCGGAATCGAATTCCGAGGTCCCTAGCCCGGGTAATGAATTTTTATCTAAAATTGTTTAATGGAAGCTTTAAAGAATTCAAGAAACTAAGAAATAATCGATTCCCTAGGTATCGGGCTCGGATTTTGGTTCCGAAGCTTGGTACAGGTCCGTAATGTCATTTAAGACTTGCCCGTAAAATTTGGTGTCAATCCGAGTAGTTTAAGGGCGTTTTGACTCGTTAGAGGAGAATTAAGAACTTAAGGATTCAATAGTTTGATTCATTTGGTTTTAGGGGATGATTATAAGATTTAGCGTTGTTTTGGGAGTTCCGAGGGTTCGAGTAGGTCTGCCTCGCGATTTCAGACTTGTCGGTATGTTCGGGCGGGGCTCGGGAGCCCCGAGCGTCAAATGACTGAGGTTCGAGTGAAGTTAGAGAGTTGAGAAAAGGCTGAAGGCTGCTGCTTCGGTCATAACCGCATCTGCGGTTCAAGGACTACAGATGCGGTCAAATGATCGCAGAAGCGGCCCAAGGCAGGCCCAAGGGAAGCCGCAGATGCGGCCTTATTTCCGCAGAAGCGGTTCCGCATAAGCGCTTCTCAGACCGCAGATGCGGTCCAGCCTCCCTTAGCCCAGAGCCGCAGATGCAGCCTTATTTCCGCAGGTGCGGGACCGCAGATGCGGCCCCCAAACCGCAGAAGCGGAAATCGCTGGGCAGTGAACTCTTTTAATTCGAACTTAAGTGCATTTATTTCACATTCTTCTCCACACTTGGGCGAAATTGGGGCTTCCAAAGAGAGGGTTTCCACATATCATCACAAGGTAAGTAATTTCCACTCTCCCTTAGCTTAAATACATGAACATTAGATAGATTAAACACTAGAAATTAAGTAAAAATCAAGGGTTAGAGCTAGACCTAGGGTTTTGATAAAACTAAGATTTAATCAAGTAATTTACTATGTAATGAACTAGAAATCATATATTATCGATCCTTAGGGCATAAAGAACAATTTCCTTTGAAAAATCTCGGAATCCGGGCGCATGGGCCCGGGGTCAGAATTTAGGAAACTTGTGAGAAAGGTTGGAAAATTACTTAAATAGTTAGAATTCGGCCTCTTGAGCCTTTATTGACTAGTTCTTACCTATCTTAACTAGTTTGCGATCGTTCATATTCGAATTAAGAGCTTGGGCTTGTTCTTGATATTCGGGAGCGCGCTTTGGAGCGAGGTGAATCTCCTTTCTAACTTTGTGAGGGGGAACTGTCCCCATAGGATTAATAATTGAATAATTGTGCTAAATGCGGGGACTACGCACGCGCTAGGTGACGAGAGTCCGTGCGTAGCTACTACTATGTCTATGGTCCGGGTAGCTTAGGACCCACATCATGCTTATTTCATATGAATCTATTTAATATCTTGTTACTATGAGCACCTAGGGTATGCTAGGGATTTTAAAAAGGGAATAAGAACGTACTTGTATAAATGTTGAAGTCTTGCTTGGCAATTATGACCATTGTTGTGCCTTGTGTGTACACTTGATATTCCTACTTATTTGTGGATCAGGCCGATCGCCTCGGTATGAATAGATGCATCTATAGGCGCGCCGTCGACCCTCGCAAGTGCACAGTTTATTTCTGTAGGATCGGGCCGTCGCCTCGGCATATTTGCGCATGCTTTACAGCTTTGCCTGAGTTTGTTAACTATTAGAATTATACTTTCATGACTCGAAAGGAACTGATAATTGTGAATAAAGTAAATGATTAATTGGAATCTCAGCGAGAATATGATTTATATGCCTAGTTGTAAACTGTTGCCTGTTATAGATTTTTATTGTTAACTTAAACTTATGATATTATTTGGCCCTAGTGAGTGTCAAGTCGACCCCTCGTCTCTACTCCTTCGAGGCTAGGCGGGATACTCACTGGGTACATATTTTTTTATGTACTCATGCTACGCTTCGTACTTAAATGTACAGGGTCTGAGGCAGGTGGATCCGGTTATTTCTCTGGTGCGCAGTTGTGAGCAGGCTTGGGACTTCTACGGTGAGCTGCTCTTTCTTCCATGTCGATCCGCAGTTGAAGAAGTCTCTCTTTGTACTGTTATTTCTGTCTATTCTGATCCAGACAGTAGGGTAGTGTAGTATTCTTTTGGTTGTATATTCTACTAGCTGCCCTGTCACGACCCGGATTTTTCCCACCATCGGGCGTCGTGATGGCGCCTACTAACGGAGCTAGGCCAGCCATACATTAAACATTCGCTATTCAACCTCGACAATATAATATACTAACAACAGTTAAAGAAATGCGGAAAATTTTAAGTTTAACAAAAAATATAAAAATGCGGAGGTTTGAAACACATCCCTACCCAAAATCTGGTGTCACTAGCTCACGGACTACTACAATTCTGAATGAAAGAAATACACATGTATGTTTCGATACAATGAAAACAAACTGAAATAAGGAAAGGGACTTCGGCCTGCGAACGCCAGCTAGGCTACCTCGAGAGTCCCTGGACTGAAGATAGCTCCCGGATAAGAATCCTACTGCTGCCGTCCAAAAGTTGCTTCTGGATCTGTGCACAAAGAAATGCACAGAGTGTAGCATCAGCACAACCGACCCCATGTGCTGGTAAGTGTCTGGCCTAACCCCGGCGAAGTAGTGACGAGGCTAGACAGGACTACCAAACCAACCTGTACAATTTTTATATACAAATATGCAACAAAAGGAAAGAAAATACCGAAACTAAACAGTTAAAAGGGAGGGAAACGTACTATGGGGAGATATACAAATTTGGAAATAAAGTTCATCAGCATAATTAAGAATCATGGCACAACAATAATTATCAAAGAATAAGAAATTCTATAGTTGCACGGCATCACCCTTCATGCTTTTACTCTCAATTTCACCCAAAGCAATCAAATAAAATGCACGGCATCACCCTTCGTGCTTTCCCTCACATAGCTCTCATCTCACGGCACGGAATGACCCTTCGTGCAAATATAATCAAATCAGAGCACGGAATGTACCTTCGTGCATAAATAGTCAAAACATAGCACGGCATGACCCTTCGTGCAAATATAATCAAGAATAGCACGGAATGACCCTTCGTGCAAATATAATCAAGAATAGCACGGAATGACCCTTCGTGCAATTTCACTCTTCCTCACCCAAATAACAGTCACAACCAAACGGGCAAGGGGAATAAACAAGTAATATGAACTGTCCCGGCAAGGGAATAACACAAATAACAACCAAGTCCCGGCAAGGAAACAATAACAATATCTTTCACAACCCAGCAAGGGCAATACTCACTGTAATCAAACCATCCCGGCAAGGGATTAATCACAACTCTTTTCAATACGTTCATCTCTTACTCAATGGTATTTAACACTCGAGGCAATGCTCCAAAATATTAATATTTCACAACTTATCCTCCGATTCTTCACATTTGCAGAAAAACATTTTTGTAGCTTAGAGAGTTCCAAATTATCTCATAACAAGTACAAACAAAGACCCACGGTCATGCTAGACTCCGGTGTATAGACACTCGTCACCACGCCTATACACCGTACTCGATCATTAGCAAACTAGCATTTATGATACTCTAATCCTATTCCCTCAAGCCAAAGTTAGATCAAACACTTACCACGGTCCGAAAATAGCAATCAAGCCTCTAACNTACTCGGTATTTGAGCAATTTGACAAAACAACATCGCAGATATCCATCCTAGCTCTTCTACAGAGCTCTGACGCTCACAAGAATGCCTTGATGAAGATACTAAGCGAAGCTTATGTGCCCAGCAACATAACTCCTAGTGAGTGTCCAGTCAACCTCTCGTCTCTACTCCTTCGAGGTTAGGCGGGATACTCACTGGGTACATATTGTTTATGTACTCATGCTACGCTTCTGTACTTAAATGTACAGGGTCTGAGGCAGGTGGATCCGGTTATTTCCCTGGTGCGCAGTTGTGAGCAGGCTTGGGACTTCTACGGTGAACTGCTTTTCCTTCCATGTCGATCCGCAGCCGAAAAAGTCTCTCTTTGTACTGTTATTTCTGTCTATTCTGATCCAGACAGTAGGGTAGTGTAGTATTCTTTTGGTTGTATATTCTACTAGCTGCCCGTAGTTTGTGGCACCAGGTTCTGGCACACACACACGTTAGTAGACATTTATTTTTGGGTTGTATAACTATTTTGATACCTTATTTACCACTCCTGGCCTTAAACCACAGAACTTCCTATAATACAACTTAAAGGTCACTAATGATAGACTAATCAGAAGCACAGTTGAACCCACTCCCTAAAAAGACTAAATTAAATCATGCAATGCACAATCACGTAGACTTAAAACTAAGTAGACAGTCTCATATGGTACAGAATCCTCTAGTTGTGCTATATTGAATACAAATCTTACCATTTAAAAAAAATGCATAGTCTCATAGAGTAAACAGAGAAACAATTCTTCAAGATATGTGATAAGGACAGTTACGAAAATTTATAATTCTGTCATTTTTCTTCCAATTGAAAAGCTGGGCACTAATGATCTATGGCGACATTTCCCCAGCCCTAGGACAAATCCAACAATGTGAATGATAGGAGGACTTTGCATCCTAGCTTTTATGAGAACCAAAAATCCGCTATGGCAGTTTAGTCATAGCTCTTGCAAGTCTCTGACAAACTTACTTGATGCAGACAGCTGAGATTCCATGAAACACTCTCGTGAGCAATAAACTATTATCCTGTTGGCTATCCCAAACCAGGTTTTATCACATTTAGAAGTGGGATTTTTCAAGCCCATGTAGCTTAGCCAACAGACAATTAACTTTTTCCATACGCAACAAACCCATTTCACACGGTTCATTAATGTGACACTAGAGGTTACCATGATCACATGGCAGGTAGAAGGTCGGTTTGACTATTAACATTTGCAAGATCACTATTTTACCTTGCAGGTAACACAAAGAATAAAGATTGGACAAGAAACCCGAAGGTAATCACACCTTAAAAAGTACCAGGTGATTTAAATTATTATCCTTCACTTTTTCCTTTAATGATCTTCTGTAATTTTCAGCAGGGAATTCTTGGAAAAGGCAGCTTTAGCATGGATAGGGCAAAAGCAGAAAGGAAAATCAGAGTTCAAAAGATCTTACCTTCCTTTCCACAAATACAATGGTCAAAGGGAAGGGATGACCAGATCTTTCAGATTGAGCTGCCTCCTCAACCAACAAATCCAAAAGTCGGTCAATCTACAAGATTTATCATTACAACAACGTCAAGCTACAAGCATGATCAAGACCCATAGACTAGTGACAATTAATATCTACACTTGAAAGCTTGTTTTTCCAACTATATAAGATTGACCCCAAGCACAAGATAGTTTATGACATAACTGTGTCTTCCCCATGAACAAAAATTGTAAAAGAAATCTAACATAAGTAAAACTGAACTTCGAATTTCTAGCATTTCTGATATACATTTGATCTTTGGCACAACTGCAAAACGAACAATATTTATATTCCCGGAAGACCATATATTTCAGAAAATTATCCAACAAAGGATGGACCAAAAAGTGAAGTTATAGTTGCATTTTGAAGACTCAAGCACCACGGAGTTGCTGGTAAATAGACAAAACAAAGGATAGCATGGAGCATTGCCCTCATGTAATATGTGTGAAACCTAGTGAATGGAAGATCCCTTGAGATCTCAATAAGAATCGTATTACTGTTTTGCCTCTTGTTTATTTATTTTTGTTACGACGATGTTCGGGCCAGCTTCAGCGCACCTTGACTAATCCACTGGGTACCTGCTATCTCCCACGAGCACAGACACCTACTATCGATTCACCATAGTTGTTCCCAAACAATGAATAAATAGGGTGAGTACCTTTTTAATTGATAAAACATTTGGGAAAAGACAGCGGAACTCTCTGACGAGATGTTTGCAGTTCCTCTTGAATTACAGTTGCTTCACGAGTTATATGACAATATGCAAAGATTCAAATTAATAGAGCTAACACCTTCTATCACCTTCCAGACTTGAGAATATTACCAGAAAGGTACACCACTTATGCTGGGAAATTGGAATTTCATCACACTTCACACAGTAAGAGTTAGCTCCTTATGCATTAGAGAGCTCTTGGCTGGAGAGCCTTGTCAAGACTAACAACCCACTATGACCCACCCAAAAGCACACACATATATATAGCTTGTATCAACATGAATGTGGATGTATCCATTATTATGATGACATAGATTTTAGTATTGATTCTTTATCCTTATCAAAAAATGAAAGTCAGAGACGGGGAAGACACACCCTATGGGCAAAGACTGATGAGTGCAACACTGTTAGATGCATAACTCAAACTACTATGTATACAAGTAACAAGCAAGAACGGATAATAAAAAGGCCTTGCAACAAAAAATGGTAACATTGAAGCTATTAAAAGCAATGCAAGTCAATCTGTTCTCTTTGCTATTTAAGTTCAGCCCCAAACATACCTTATCATTTTCAGGTACCTTCTCTAAATTCTGGGAAACATTTGCAGTCGGGCTGCTAACTTTTCCAACTTTTATTCGCACTGGATTAGTCAAGTAATCCTGTAATAATAAAAAGAAATAATTGAAACCTCTCTTACAGAACAATAACATTTACTCCATCATGTGTTTATCAAAACTGAAGATCTTTAAGTAATGATGAATTGCATATACATGGAGAATGACATTGTTGGAGAAAAGCTATAAAACAAGACCTCAAACAGAATTCAACATTCAGCCCGCACCAGTTTCTTTAAAGTCAAGTTTTTATAGTATAGTAGCTTTAACCCTTCTAACAATTATTGCCAATTGAATAGTAATTTCTAGCTTGACCTTGTTCTCATTGTTTCGACATTGTATTCGCATGGTATATCATTGGTAGATGTCAACATGGAATCTGCTCATGATTAGAATTACCTGTGCGGTCTTAGAATCCTAGCATCCACAAAATAAGCCCACTAGGATACTATTTTAAATACCTTGACTAATACAAGGAAGAAGTAAATAGAAACCTAACCTGTGCCAATGCTTCAATTTCTGTCGGCATGGTGGCACTGAAGAGCAGTGTTTGATGCTTTTCTGGAAGATTTCGCATCACCTACGACAGAGTAATATTTGGAAGTTGTCATTTATGGTGTTTCATAATCAAATAAGTCTAGAACCACAGACCAAACAATCCAGTTTGATGAATTGATCTCTATAACAAATTACAATAGCCAATGAACAAATGGTAATCAGGAGTCAAATGACATGAGAGGTTTTCCGATTTTACAAAAAGATACCAGCCGAATAAAATAATGTAAATGTATTATCAACCACTGTTATGTAGTTTATAGTAGCAAAACAGCTACTAAATTGACTGACAAATGTATGTAAAGAAATCAGAAAACAGCAGTATACTCCTCACAACATCAGGGAGGTATAGAACATGAGTTATAGGTGATGAGCCTAACAGGTAAAATGGAAAATAATGTTCACTTGAAAAGATAAGATAAACAAAATTGAAATAGAAGGTATACCTCTCTTATCTGAGGTTCAAACCCCATATCAAGCATTCTATCAGCCTCATCCAAAACAACAAAAGAGATCCTGCAGAGGGAAGTATTTCCTTGCTGTAAATGATCTATAAGTCTTCCTGGAGTAGCAACCACTATATGTACCCCTGCTCGAAGTTCAGACCTCTGTCTTGCATCCAATAAAAACCACAATTACAAGATATGAGAAGGCTAGTCTTGCATCATCATGTAACATAAAAGATGAAAATGATTGTTCCAAGGCACAACCAAAAGATAAATTCAAGAGTAAAAGAAGAGATATCTGCTTTATTTATCCTCATGTAGTATGTGTGAACCACGCAGATACTAGAGCACCCTAATAATGATATAAAAAAATGAAGTTACCTGTTCACTAATGTTTGTCCCACCTACAACAATTGCGGTCTTAAAGGAATCCAGTGACAGGCTGAAAGCCGTAACCTGAAAAGAAAAGTGTAGCAGTTCAAGTACAGACACAATATTTACAAGGCAAAATAAAATAAATTGAGATTTTTCGCGTCTAACACCATGGATATATTATATATGACTGGCTACTATATATATTGGTCATAATGAACATGGGTAAATTCACATGCAAAATTATTGGTTATGAGGAATATTTTCAAAGTAAGACGAGGAGGCTTTGTACAGTAATAAAACCAAATCAACAAAGCAATGCACAATTGGAACCTAGTGATAATGAAGTCCACTCTTGTGAATCATTGAGACCCTGTTAATTAATTAAAACCAACACGAAAAAAGAGAGGAAAGGTGAAACAGCATGCTTCGGTAGCATAAGTTAGTAATTTATGTAATCAACTAAACAAGACTGCTTTTGAAGGATGACCATTTATTCGAGGTTCAAGAAGCGAAGCATGCGTAGAGTAGCAAGCCATTATGTTTTTCAGGTCCCTTTGATATGGTTATTAGTCAATTAGCACCACATTAAAGAGAGTCTATTATGTTCTCAATGAAACCGAAAAGAGAGAAAAAGAAACTAGTGTTGTTCGTATTGATCGATTAGATAATAAAAAGAAATAGGAGCAAGTCCAAGGGTCTGATCAAGATTAGAATTTGAGAGAGTGAAACCACAGTGAAAAAGGAAAAATGAAACAAATATATGCAGAATATGAAGAAAATGCAAGAAATTTTGAAGTGCCGCAATCCACCTCTTTCTCTATTTGTTGTGCAAGCTCTCTCGTAGGCGCCAACACTAATGCCAAAGGTCCATCACCACGTTGAAGAGGTTGTTGAGCCAAACAGTGCTGCATGGAAAGAGAATAACATGTATCGTAATTATTAAACATCACAACAATTGAAGCATCTCATATAAGCAAGATGAAGTACAACACTGACAGATTCGCAATATGACATGGAAATGAAATACGCAACCTGTATCATAGGTATGCTGAACGCGGCGGTCTTCCCACTACCAGTTTCAGCACAACCCAAGAGATCTCTTCCACTAAGAGCAACTGGCATGGATTGAGCCTGAATAGAAGTCGGTGCAGTGTAGCCATGCTTTTCAATATCCTTCATGATGCTAGGATGCAAGCACTGCAGGGAGAAAAAATAAGCAGGATCCAAATAACTTAATTATGCCCTTAAATTAAAAGGTAAATATAGGGATTTGTCGATGAATTTAATTATTCAACTAACCATATCAGGAAATGATTCAATAGGTGCAGGTGCAGAACTTGAGCCTGGGGCAACATTTACATCAACGTTAAGCCTTAATCGAATCTCTTCTATCTGCAGATAAAAATGTACATCAAAAGGCCGATCAAACACGTAAACCAGGATCACCAATTAAAACAATAACAGATTGACAATTCATGTAAGTCAACAGGAATTAAACTTTTCATACATTGCATTTCCTCAAATTGCAGTTAGCAGATATTAGCAGCACTTAGAAACTAAATAAACTACTGGTATTTTACCACAGAAATATCCAAACTTTAACATAATATAGCAATTTCTCTAGCATGTAAAAGTCCATATAACAAAGATAATAATCATAATGTTGCAGTGAAGGCCTAAAGATACAAGTAAAATTCTCGTGCACTAGGAATAACACAAATATACCTCAAACTAAAGAATGTTACAGGCATGCAGCCTTTTAATAAACTGCCGTCTATAGCTTAAAAAAACACTTCAACTGCCAATTAGCGAAATATATGCAAACTTATTTCTCATTTTGCTAAATTCAAGGCACCACAAACAAAATTAAACAGCAATTTTGCAACAATAAACTAACTTTCAGAGTGAATGAATTGAAGTTCAGCAAATTTTCATAAACCCTAAGGACACATAAAAAAATGTAACACTTTAACCGAAAATAGAAACGGACAATTCAAATACTGATAACCTAAATAACATCACTTCCTGGTGCTACTGAATATTCGAACCTGCTCGGATTTAAGACGGAGAACTCGTTCGGAAGGCTTCCACTGGGGAAACTCAGGGTCAGGGATGGCCGTTCTCGATGCCGTCGAGTAATTAACGGAGCTCCGGCGAGATGAATTAGAGTATCCGTTGGACGAGGACTTGTCAAGCTCGCCATTGCAATGAATTCTGGACTGATGCGAGCTGCGTTTTGATGAGAAGTAATCGGCGCCGGCGCCGTTACTGTTCAGAGTGGTGGTTTTGCCGGCAGAAGAATTTCTCAGGTGAGGAGGTACATAAGACATGGTGTAGAGAATTACTTCAGGAGTATAATTTTTTTCGCGGGATAAGATGAGACTGCTAATATCTATTCTAGTTCTAGAAACAAAAGGAGTGTGATTTAAGTGGAATGCTGAAAAGCCTGCGCTTTCAAACACTGGGATGACATCTATGTTTTTGGGAGAAGACCATTTTCGGCCTCCATATCGGGCCTTGACCAATTAGCCAATACATTAAAAATAGCACGGGGCTGGCCAGTTTTCGGACTGGTCATTTAAAAATGAGAAACTTACAAAAATGTCCCAAATAAATCTCAACTTATCAAACTCTAGCCATTAGTCATAAATTTACCAAAACTAGCCAACAAAAATTGAAACACCAAATAATAAGGTTCTTTCTTTCAAAGAATCACATGCAAAAATCACCTTCCATATTTTTAAACGTGATTAGCAACATTAGATACAAGATGGAAAGGAAATTTTATGGACGGGGTAGCAAATAAGGTGATGAGATACAAAAATATATACAATATTCCAAAAATCTAAGCAAAAAAGGAATTTTTTCAATGGGTATAGTTGAAATTCATTGAAAATATATAGATAAGTCAATATACAAAATTTGAGGAAGATTGAAGGTGATTTGGACTGGTTTTGTATCAAAATTCGTAATTAAATCGAGTTCAAAAAAGTCTTCTGCGACACATGTATCAAACATGTATCACGCATGTATCTCACACACAGGTATACATGGATATACATGTGATACACAATTGATACAAATATGATACATATGTGATACACAAATGATAACAATGTGATACACATATCATTTTTTTTTCATTTTCAGTTTTTACGTCGAATTTTCAATTCAAACCACCTCAAAACTTCACCAAATCATCCCAAAATTGAGATTCAAGCTCCTTAAGTTGTGCCCAATCTATTCTAATAACACTCACTCAAAACAAAGCAAAAATTTAATATTTTTTTGCTTCAAATAGCTAATTGGCTAATTTGGCTAATATTAGTAATATTTTATCGATTGGCCAATTTTTGTAATGAGCTACTTGTAAATGGACATAGCTGGTAGCATTTGTCAAGTCATTGAAAAATAACTACTATTTTACTGCAACAGAGACCGGTCCAGCATAATATACTGGAGTTCGGTGCACCTGTGTACGAACTTCCAGCATATTCTCCAACACACGAAAAGTTCCAGTATAATATACTGGAGATTCGAGCACTTGTGTATGAACTTCCAGCATATTATACTGGACCGGTATACTTTGCTGGAACTCCAGTATATTATGCTGGAGTTCTAGTGTACTTATGTTGGAACTCCATCATATTATGCTGGAGTTCCAGTATAATTATCCTAGAACTCCAGTATAATATGCTGGAGTTCAAGTATACTTATGCTGGAACTCCAGCATAATATACTGGCGTATTTTTCGAGTTTTGAACAGTGTTTTCGCTCAAATTTATCTTTACATGAAAAGTGGCTAAATTTCGATTACTTTTGAAAGCGTGGCTATTTTTGAATGACCACTTGTAAATCTGGCTATTTTTTAATTTCTCCCGCCAATACAGCAAACTTCATTTATGAGTAAAAATTGCACGGGGCGCCCTATTTGGTCACCCCCATTTAACCTATACCCATTTTTTTAAAAACTTTTAACTTGTACCCACTTCTTAAATAACTTCAGCTCCCTTTCTCCTCCTTCGTTTTCTTCATCTTCTAAAATAAATAGCTGAAATATGCAAACAAGCAATTGACTGAGTTGTCAAGCAAGAGGACGACCATCCCTTTGCCTTTTTAAATATTAATTCTTCTACTGTCTTCCTATAAATCTGTGTTGCAGAATCTGGAGATTTATAGGTTAAGTGGCAGATTTCAGAATTTTCCCTCTACTTATTACTGAATAGAGGACCATGCTTCTTGTACTGCAAGAAAGTTTTGATTTTTATGTCACAAGTAGTTCTCGGTTATGTAGATTGCGAGAAAGTTGTAATTTTTATGTAATTGGTGGTAGAGTTTGATTCTATTGCTGGAGAGATCAATTGAAGTTCTGTATATACATATATATTAATTATATATAGACATTGGTCACTGGGAAATGGAAGAAGGTAACAAAGAACTTCGGTTATTGGCCTTGACACCAACATGGTCTGTTGCTTCTGTATTGACTATATTTGTTGCTGTTTCACTCCTTGTCGAGCGATCCATTCACCGCTTATCTATATATTTGATCTCTTCAGCCTAGTCTTAGCCTCATATGCAACAATGGCAGAAGCATTGTCCACATTAGATTATGAATTTCTAAAACTTCAGCTCTAGAGCTGAAGTTTCCCAGTTACAATACAAAAACTTCAGCTCTAGAGCTGAAGTTTCCCAGTTACAACACAAAAACTTCAGCTCTAGAGCTGAAGTTTCCAGTTACGTAGCTGAAGTTTCCCAGTTACAATACAAGAACTTCAGCTCTAGAGCTGAAGTTTCCAGTTATAACACAAAAACTTCAGCTCTAGAGCTGAACTTCAGGCCCGGCTACTAGAATGCTGAAGTTTTGCGTGATTGCCTTTGCTACTTCAGTCCCGTGTGCTGAAGTTATGCGAAAAAGCGGGTACGCTTACAATTTTTTTTGCAAAGTGGGCACAAGTTAAAATGTGACACAAAAAGCGGGTATAGATGCAAATGCCCCCATTTATGAAGACAACCGCTAGCCCATTACACTTGATTGCAAGTTATAGCCAAAAACTTATTACATTGGCTACACACAAAAAAATACGCTGACCAATTTAATCAACTTTTCAAGTTGCAAAGTAGAGTCTTTAATCTATTACGATCTACTACTCTTTATTATTTCTCCACTATAAATTGTTAAATTTTTAAAAATAAATTAATTTTCTTATTTAACTCCATTTGATTTGCAGGATTTAGTAGACAACTGAAAGCTATTTCAAAGTCGATATCACTTCTTTTTTAATAACTGAAGAAATGGACAAATGAAATGAAAATTTCATATAACTAAAACCAAAAGCACGAACTTACAGTGAAATGAGCAAGTTTTAATTTCTCTCTCTCTTCTTTTTTCTTCTAAAGGCTTCGTCTTTATATTCCTCTAATCTGAATAAGTGCCACATTTTGCTTTTTAAGGTCAAGTTGGACCATTTTAAATCAGTCTCCTGTTTTATGGATAAAAATTAAAAGGTGTAAAATATCCTTTAAATATTCATGGGAGAGATACCCAGTTTTTCATATTACGAATAATGAGTTCCTTAAATTTACTAACACTTACAATTATCATAGAGAAATTTATGCTTGTTTAATAGAAACTCAAAAATAGCAAAAAATTTAAATAAACAAAAAATTAATTAGAGCAATATGAGTCTTGTGAGTTGTGATTCGATAGAATTACTTTAATCTTTTTGTGAGGTGGACCTATTATTTTTGTTCATTACCGTTCTTTGATTTTGTTTTAATAGAAATGTCACCAGCTTCTTAATTATAAGTTTTTATACAAAATAGTCTATATACGTTGGATAGATAAGGTTAAGGTAAAAGAACAAAATATATACACTTTATACATCATACAACATTCTATACACGTTGGATAGATAAAAGTGCTCGGGATACAAAATATATAAAAAATAGACTGTCACTATACAAAATATATACAAAATAGACTGTCACTATACAAAGTATATACAAAATAGACTGTCACTATACAAAAAATACACAATAGACTGTCACTATACAAAATATATACAATAGACTGTCACTATACGAAATATATACAAAATAAACTGTCACTTTAAAAATATATACAAAATAGACTGCCACTATACAAAATATATACAAACTAGAGTGTCACTATATAATTTATATACAAAATAGACCGTCACTATATAATTTATATACAATAGACTGTCACTATACAATTTATATACAAAATAGACTGTCACTATATAATTTATATACAATAGACTGTCATTATATAAAAAATATACAAAATAGACTGTCATTATATAAAAAAATATACAAAAAAAATAAATATTTCGGGCTATTAAATGTAATATGTTTGGGGCGGAGGGATATTTCGTGTCAATGGGGAAAAATATAGGCTATTAAAATTTTGAGGGGCTATAGAGGGTCATTTTCTCTAGCCAATATAAGATGTATAAGGTAAAACGAGCACCGCTAGCCAGTTTTTGCACTGGTAATTAAAATAACCCACGTTTGTGAAATCATTAAAAATAACTAATATTTTGCTGAAACACGAAAAGTTTCAGCATAATATGTGGGATTATGGAGCTCCTGCATATAAACTTCCAACATATTGGGTGTGTTTGGTATTAAGGAGAATGTTTTCCATGGAAAATGTTTTTCTAGAAAAAATTTCATGGAAAATGAGTGGTTTTATCACTTGTTTTTCCTTGTTTGGTTGGTTAGTGGAAAACTTTTTCCGAAAAAATATTTTCTAGTATTTGGTTAGAGAGTAGAAAATATTTTGTTATGCTACTCTCCTCACTTCTATTGCTATCCAGAATGGAAAAGAGAATTTGGCTATTTATATAACGGATAGTATTGTAGGCCATAAATTGGGAGAATTTGCACCTACATTAAATTTTAGAGGACATGCAAAAAGCGATAATAGATCTCGTCGTTAATATTAATAAAAAATCTAGATGCTTATGATTCAGTAGTAGGAGGCAAACCTTATGCTAAAGAAGAAGAAAAATAGAAGTATATGCTTTAGGCGAACATATATCTATGTCTGTTGACAAAGCACGAAGAGTAATTGATCAAATTGCGGCCGTTCCTATGATGAAACCCTTATGATGCTAGAACTCATGCCCTATCGAGCATGTTATTCCATTTTGAAATTAGTTTATTCTGTGGCAGCAAATTCTAGTTACAATATGGGTTCCAGCGAAGCCAATTTAATCATTAGTAAAGCCGAAGTCAATGGAGGTACTACTGTGAAGATTTTGAAACCTCGAGCTCGAGGACGTAGTTTTCCAATAAAAAGATCAACCTGTCATGTAACTATTGTAATAAAAGATGTATCTTTAGAAGATGAATATGTAGAGATGTATTCGTTAAAAAAATGAGATGGGAAAAAAATCTACTTTCCGGACTGGATACAACCCAAGGTCATCATTCCCTTTGGTTTTCGCAACCAAAAA